CTAAGTGATGAAACGTCAATTCTGTATGTGACTGATGAAAGGGAGATTTCGCATCACAAAGCAAAAAAATACCCGTCCTTCTATCATGACACACTGTTTGCATGTTACTTGCACATGCTGTAGGAATATAGAGTTATAGACAGTATGCATCACAGGCTTATTGTGCTGATGTTCTCAATGGTATCCAAAATTTCCTTTGTAGAATCAAATAAGCAACGAAATATATTAATAAGTTTACAATTTAGCTGTGTACCACAAAGAATCATGGAAACCAGATTTCAGGTGTTTTGGATGTGTGTGTTTAGTTCCGAAGGCAATGGTTAACAAATGTGTGTTTTCAGATTTTTCAAATGAATTTCACCTTATGGCTAGACCGCTAGAGCATCTTCAATGAAATGCAAACCTGTTCATTTGTCTTTACCATTAATAGTTTAATACTCATGCTGAAATATTGAGGTCTTCTATTTACGCTTTGTGTGCTATGTTTTGCTCTCACTGTACTTCAGTAAGAATATTATTCAAATTGTTCACCACGATGTCCTATATTTCTATGCTTGCAGGTTTTCCACCGGGAGAACAATTTCTAGATGCTAAATTGAAATGTATTGTCCAGTGTCTTGTGATGTCATTATTTCATTATTCAAGGTATGTGTCTCACAAGGAAATAGAAAATCCTGAATTTTGCATGTGTGATTGGTTCAACAACCTCAACCTCTGCACCTCACTGTCAACCACATGCAAGCTTCCTCCTTGCTTTAGGTGAGAGCATTTATTTCATCGCCTTTTTAGCTTGCTCAGATTGCATGTTTGATAGGTTTCCCCAACCCGGGTTAGGAACCCCTTTGATTTTGGTTCCTTGCTACAACTCTGTATGCAATTTTGTTTCTGTCACAGTTTGATCGATCCATTCTTAGCTACAAATGCTTATTTATAAACAGATGGCTACAAGGTTCATTGTAGTCTTGCAGTTTGGAATACCAAAAAAAGCATTTGTTTGAGTGGTATAGCGTTTAGATGTCATTTTCTTGTTTGCTGTTTTTTATCACCTTTTATTGTCGTGCTATGAGTTGATATGAATCAGCTAGCTATTGTCTAATTGTTGAAATACCACCCTTTCGAGCAGCCCTTGAACACAAAACAAGGAAACGAGGATATTTCGGAGTCCCAGTCTCACTGCCTTCATGGACGCTGGAGCCACTGCCACCTTTACTATGTGTGTGGTTAGGGTATAGAACTCCGACTATAAAACTCCATGCTAATGTTCCATATTCCTTTTTTCTGCTAATTTTTAGAGTTTATCCTTCTATGAATTACCTAATTTCAGTCACAACTGACAAATATCAGTCTATTTGTTAACATCTCCATCTCCATCAAGGTTTATAAATTGACTTAAGAGTATGCATGTGCCCCTATCATTTTTTTGGTTCGTCAACAGATGAAGTAATCAACAGTTTGAATGAGGGATTAGGAGTACATCATCTAAAATATTTCTGTTCCCAGTTAAATGTGTACCGATAAATTTAACTATCAAAATCATTGTAGTGAGAAAAATTATGTTCTTATTTGCAGGCATTGTGTGGCGATAAACACATGACCAGCAAGGGGCCCTGCCCCCCTCCAAATACTATGGATTTGTTCATAATAAACACATGAACAGTGCAGCATTTGACTTGTTTTCTGCTCCGACCGTCCCTCCCCAACATCCTAATCCCACTAATCCCGCCTCCGCCACTGCAGGCATGCCGGCCTTTTCTTAATTGCTATACTTTTGAGGACGCATCACTAAAAAAACTAAAAGAGGCACCACAAGTCTATAAAATCCTTATTACATTTTTGCATATGTACAGAAGTGAAAAATAAAAGTGAATTTAGCTATATACTTTGAAAATTGTAGTGGTTTTGCATGTCTAATAATTTTTTTTGTTATGATATTATTTTGTTCACCGGTATTTAATCCTTGGGGATTTTTATCTTTCCCATTCAGAGTAGTCCAATTGATACTTCCGATGGACACACGACAGGTTGCTGATGATGTCGTCTAATCCATATTAGAAGGTTTAATAACTTACTTGAACACTAAAACTATATAATGGATGGTTCTAGATGGGGGCGAGGATCCTCTATTTCCTTTACCAAATGTAGTCGGTCGTAATCACATGTTGTCTGACCTTCTCTCTATGCTCTCTTCACCTTATTCTTTGCATCATTTCACCGGTACAAGTCATCAGATGGGTATTACTGTTTTCAGTATGTTGTGTGTCGGTGGCCTGAAGCACAAGCTACTCACTATACTACTCCCTCCGTTCGAAATTACTTGTCTTAGATTTGTCTAGATACAGAGGTATCTAGCACTAAAATGAGTCTAGATACATCTGTATCTAGACAAATCCAAGACAAGTAATTCGGAACGGAGGGAGTATATAGTATCGTGCTACAACTATGAATTTTACAATCCTGGTATACCCTAATTTGAGGTGATTTATATGCCAGGTTATCCTAATCTTTATGTATCTGATGCTAAAACCATCATGCTTGCTTGCAGAGATTCAGTTAAGACTTAAATTAACAATTATGTATCTGAAGACTGACATTTGAAATTACAGGTTTCATGGCAATGATGGAGTGCTACCAAATTATGTTCCAAGAAAAATGATTTCAGCCTCAACTTGACTACATGTATGTGACTTGCAGTCAGTATGAAGTTCATTACACTACTAATATTAATTTCCTCATCTCCTTTATTTAGCTATTTGTCTATAGTCAACTCACATCACTCGACATCTACAGGCATGTTGAATTGTTGACCCGATTTGACGGACTATATAAGTGCTCTTCTCTTTGGGAATTTGAAAGCACAGCCCTTCTAAGCATCGCACAATATATAGGCTTATATATGTGGTGGCTATCATTGGTACAAGCATGTGTGCATTAGACCAGAAAAGGGGTAAGTTGCCTTTGATACTGATCTGGTACCCCCCTATAAGCGTATGATATTAAATAGGTTTCTATTGATTCATCAACAGAGAATTTATGTCAATTGATTTAATGTCGATATAAGCTTTATGCAAGTTTGTTTTCTCGAGAGTGAGCAATCGGTACTATAGCTTCTTTATGCAAGCTTGTGATTTCTGAAGTAGTGGATCCTACCAGGTTTCAAACTCACAGAGCATATTGAAGGTGGTACAAATCATTGCAGAGTGAATTACAAGTAGCTATATGTGGATTGGAATTTACTGAAGCTTTGCATATTCAAATTTTTAAGTCGAATGAGACATGCATTGCACGTGCAAGCTTACTAGTGACTGCAAAAGCAAGGTGCGCATGAGAACGTACCTCGTTAAATCCCTGGATTACATGTGTCGGCTGCCTATTAATCCATTTAAGGCTCGAAAAAACTCAAAATGAAGACATAAATTAAATCTTTGCAGGTTTAGAGCCTGTTTGGTTAGAGGCCTCGTGAGTGTGCGTGAGAAAATAAGGTGCCTGGGTAACGCCCGTGATGAAGCAAAAAATTGTTTGGCCAGACTCGCGTGCCACCCGCGTGTTTATCTATTGTCTTTGCCAGACTGATGTGAGTTGACTGTTTAAAATATTTTCACAGAACAAATGTACAATTACTGGCCAGTTATTACTGCCAGGTTGTTGCTGTAGCACGCCAGACGCATGGAGAGGGACGCCTGGACTAGGCTAATGAGGTTGCCTGGGCTATCTCTTTTCAATTTCTTATTCCTAGTTGCCATGCTAATCACATGGCAGGGACGGCCAAGCCAGGCAGACATCTTTTTCTATGAGGACAGGAAGCAAACAGCTGTCACGTAGAACTCAGGGATCATCCAAGCCAGGCGTACAATGGCGTGGAAGGCATGTAAACACGCCCTTAGTCTCGTTAGTATAGTATAGCATAACATCCTTTCTAGCATAGTACTCCCTTTGTTTCTAAATTTAAGTCTTTTTAAAGTTTTCACTATAAGCTATGTACAGATGTATATAGATGTATTTTAGTGTATTTTTTACGGGGACGTATTTTAGAGTGTAGATTCACTCATTTTGCTCTATATGCAGTCTGCATTGGAATCTCTAAAATGACATATTTAGAAACAGAAGAAGTGTTATTTTAGCAGGACAAGCACGGCTCTTGGGTGTATATACACCCTATATGATTTTTTAAGTAATTACAAAAGGTAAAAAGGAAAGTTTTTTAAATAAACTTGACCTTTTATTGTACTCGTATAAAAAGTTTGGCCAAGGTATCTTAGGTGTAAAAGAATCAATACTATATGCAAGATAGTGCTCACACTTTTTGTCCTTGAAATTTTGTTATTTTTTACCCGGAAATCTTTTTCTTCATAGTTTTTTTATACGAGTACAAGAGAAGGTCAAGTTCATTTCTTTTTTTTTTGAAATTTTGTCTCCCATATGAAGTATATATGTACCAGAGAGCCAAAGGGTATTTCCCTCTTTTACCGTGCATTATTTTAGTCGATGATGAAAAGGGAGGGACTTAGTAGCGCGTTCAGTAAAAGGGCACATTTGTATCACACCCATTAGAGATTGTAAACTACTAACCCGCAAAGGAAAAAAGAAGATTGTAAACTTTTTTTTAGGGGAAGAAGATTGTAAACTACTAGAAATATCTTTACTAATCAAGTACAACTGCGAGTGCAGGTGGCACGTGTATACCGATAAAAACCACTGCCGTCCTCCAAAAATTTCACGGTCACTGCCCGGAATTCCCCTGCAGAGAATCGGAGATGGTTTACATGCCGTTTCAGTGAACAAATTGCCTGCCGTGTCGGTCGGTCCAGATACGAGACCAAATATTCTTCCACGTTCCATCCTCCATTGAATATTAGCCCCCCGCAAAAAAAAAAAAAGAATATTAGCTGCGCCGCGTGTGACCGGCAAAGCGCGGCCACGTTGATTAAACAATTGACGGTTGGTGCTGCCCCATACCCAGCGAGGCACCCACGTGTTAACCAGCTTAGAGCAACTCTAGCGGCAAAATTGACAAATTTAACCTATGGACGAAATCAAATTACAGAATTAACTGCCCGTGAAACTATTTTACGCGGCTGACTTTTTTGTGTGACGCCCGATACGAAGGCGTCACACTACACTGTGCAACGCCTCGCAGATAGGCGCTACACGCCTGGCCAGCGTCGCACTCATGTGATCTGAAAATTACTAAGTCAGTGTGCAGCGCCTGAGAGCTAGGCGTCACACAATGCAGTGTAGCGCCTAGCTTCTAGGCGTTGCATTAGTGGTTGCTTCATTTTATAGTGCAACCACTAGTGCAGCGCCTGAGAGCTAGGCGCCACACTATACAGTGCAGTGCCTAGCCCGTAGGCTCTGCACAATGACTTAGCAATTTTTAGGCAGTTTGGGGTGCAACGTTGGCCAGGCGTGTAGCACCTATCTGTGAGGCGTTGCACAATGTAGTTTGACGCCTTCGTGTCGGGCGTCACACAAAAAGATCAGCCGCGTGAAATAGTTTCACGAGCAGTTCATTCTGTGATTTGATTTCGTCCACGGGTCAAATTTGTCAAATTTGCCCAACTCTAGCAGACCCCGCATCCGTCCTTGATCTGCAAAATAACCGTCAAAATGCGGGTGCGGGCCGGAAAGCCTGCCGGACCAGACCCCGCATCCCGCCCCGGCCCACAAAAAATTTTAGGGGACGCGGCAAATTTCCAGCCCCAACCCGGGAAAACGCGAGTTTCCCCCTCGCGGCTGCGGTGCCCTGCATCACAGAGAAGCAGTTGG